TCTGGTATTCTCTGCTTTCAGCCAAGATCCATCTAACATCAGCAACAATATCCCTAGTACCACGACCCCTTCTAAACCCAGCCTGGACTTCCGGAAGTTCTCTGCTGATGTGCTGTTCTAATCGTTTTTGTGAGGGATAACATTCATTTTCTTGTAAAAGAGCTGTGCTTTGACAATAGGTGCCAGGACTGATCTAGAATCTCAGCATTAAATGTACAAGTTAAGCCCAGGAGACCTAACCAATACAAGGAATGTTCTTGAATCAATCTCAGTGTCAGCTCATGGTTTGAAGATTGAAGGTTCTTTGAAACTTTAGGTAAATTATATCTTAGAGCTTATATCGTCATGAAGAAAATGACAAAAGCCGACACTTAGTAAAACACTTGGGGATTGGATGTTTTTCTTATACTCTCATTTGATCCTCACCACTTTCCACATTCACAGCAAAAGTCCTCATTACTTAGTAAAGAGATTCAGGCAGTTTTAGTGACCAGTCTGGCTTTAGTGAAACAAGAAATAGTGGAACTGGGACCAGGCTTCTTGCCTGGTTGGCCCCAAAGCCATAGAAATGAGTTTTACACTCTGGCAAAGCCTGAGGCTTGATCAATTGAGCAAATGTGGTTTTACTTTAATGTAAGGTATTGATCCAGTAATTTTACTTTTAAGTTTTTAACCCTGCTTTATTATATTTTATTTAGAAGTTTTACAAAAGAGAAAGGTCAACCACAGAATTAAAATAGGTTTGGTCCTCAAAATGAAAAATATATAGACAAAAACCATGTTTTTCAGTTATCCAATTTTATTTCATTTTTGCTGTATAGCTGAACTCAACCTACAGTTAGGATCAGAATTCCTAAGCCAATAGATTTTCAACTATACCACAGTGGTAAATCTTTAAAGACATAAAATCAAATATAACATAGATTTCCATTTCTAAATACAGTATATTACAGAAGGTTAAATATACCACCTCTGTGTACTTACATATATCACCTATATCATAATGCACTGCTGGGAGTCACCTCTGACTCATAGTGATCCTACATCAGTTATAATTAAGGTAGTATTTCCTAGTAAAGGCATTATTGTATAATGAAAGAAAAAGTACCTCTAATGATTGCTATCAGAATTAATGTCTATAGTTACTTGAGATAAGATCCTGTCAATTCAATGTATGAAGTAAAATCCTGATTTAACAAGTTACCAGTACTAGAAATGTTAATTGAAGGGAGAGAAGGTGAAGTGTGCATTTCTGATAAGGATGCTCACCCCTTTCACAGGGGATTTTCTTTATATTCACAGATTCTGAAATGAGTTTCATCTTATAACTGCTCCCCATTCACTCAGTTCTCAAACATGAGCACCATTTTTCCTGTTTTTGTTTTTGTTTTTTTTTTTAAGACTATTTAGCTAACTAAACACAATTTAAGTCTGGTTTTGGGTTGCCTTTTTTTTAAAGCTATATGGAAACACTTCTAGTTTTACAAGTCAAAGTTGATGAGGCTGCACAGATGGAAAGAAAAGTTCACAATGTTAGAGTACTTGGACACTTGTATATCCAGGAAGCCCAGTTTTCCCCTGGTATGTCATTTGTTAATTAATCAGAAAATAACATAAAAATAAGACTTTTAAAAAACAAGTCTATATCATGACACCTTCTCCCAGTAATGCATGAAATGGGGGAAAATGACAAGTTTATAGGCTTATTCTAAGTCATTAAGGAAGGTGGTAAAATGTACAATTAGTAAAAACTAATTATTGCTTTAGTGTGTTTGTAATACGTGGAACTCATTGTATCAAAGCATTGGCTCCTTAGCAGCAAAGATGATTCAAACTATTGTTTGCCTAAAATAATGCCATGGTTTAGAAAAATATGATGATGCTTTTAAAAGAAAATGTTTTGAGGATGCATTTTTAGAGTAAACTCAGGGATGCTGCTTTAGTCCCATTCCAATAATACAATACTAATAAAAACACCTAGACAGTCCTTGCCCACAACTCTAAGATCAAATTCTGACCATCACATCCTTGCATTTTAAAAATTATTAATCAATGCCTTTCCCTTTAAAGAAAGGGCTTGTTTTTTGGACAGGTGATTGAGAGACTGCAGGTGCAAGATCCTGCTTGTACCACACAAGGAGCTTTTCAGGTTCTTTCTAGAGTCGGCAAAACATTTTTAAGCAGCTGCTGGACATTGCAAACAGCACTTCCCCTCAACAATGCCCTGAGTATCTTCGCTGTCCCCTGGGACTCGGTCTAAAAGGAAAATGAAAATGGCCAAAGGCCCGTGCTGAGGCAGTCCTTCAGTTTTACCCACAATATATGGACATCCACTGCTTGATCAATAAAGCATTAGTGTGAAGGGAGAGAAAGGTTATTCAATCCAGTAGATTATACATTTCCAGAAGAAAGTGTTTCAGGAAGGTCAGAAATATATTTTTTTTCCCTTCTGCAAGTAGAATCCATGACATTGAATTGTTAACAACTGAAGAAAGAACTGTTGTCACTTCAGTGGTTCTTGTTGTCGAGTTTGATTGTGACTGTTTTCACTTCTGTATATTCACTCAGGGCATATTCACCTCTGTAATCACAGAAAACACAAGCTCAAAAGGGTGCCTTCCTAGCCTTTCTGTGCAAATGGTGTTCTATCTAGTACTTTATTATGACAGTATTGGGAAATGTGGAATTTATGTAAAAGAACAAAATGATCGGCTATATTGTAGTCATGACTATAACATTAATGGTAAGTTTAAGCAACAGGATATATAATTAAATTTAAATATCAATATTTTTCAACTATTTCCAACTATTCAGAAGAGGTTTTTCTTTGAAGAATGAAGTTGATTGAGAAAGAGAGAGGTATATTCTCAGGGTAGGAAGCGCAGAGCAGAAGACAAGAAAAGAGGGCTGGATGGGGGGATGAAGGGAGGCTGGGAACAGAAATGACACTGTGTTTATCATTTTTGGATGGAAATTTGGAGCCACTTGGAAGATGGAAGAGGCCATAGCCCAGGGCTGTTAATGAAGGATGTGGCCAGAAGGACCTAAAGCTAGCCTTAAAGCTTGCAGTTAGTGAGGAAGGAGGCCTGCTGAGTGCAGCAAGGGCAAAGGTTAACTCAGACCAGGCACAAGGAAGATCAAGCCTTTGAGTTAGCACCCCAATACCGCTAAGCTGCAAAGCTCTAGACACCATCCTTGAGTGTCACTGACCACGTGAGGACAGTTCTCCTTCCCAGAGCCTAGAGGTGGCTTTTAATGGACTGAATGCTTCTACAGCACTTGCTCCGATGATAAATCATTAAAAATGTGTGTTTATTGAGGGAAGGTGGTCTGGTGGCATAGTTTTGCTAAGAAGCAGGCTGCTGTCTAACAGGTCAGCAGTGTGAACCCAACTCAGCAGAAGAGAGATGAGGCACTGGACCTCTGTAAAGAATTACAGTCTTAGAAACCCCACAGGACAGCTCTCAGCCACCCAACCTTGCTAGGAGCAGGAATCAACTCGCTGCAGTGGGATTTGCTGAGGAAAAGAGGTGGCATGGAGAGAGTCATTTGCACACCTTTGGACCCTTTAGACATTAGATGGACTATGTCTTATCCCTTAAACCACCAGTTGTAAAGGTGTGGCCCCAGGCCAGCATTATCTTCCCCTGAAAACTTACTGGAAATGCAGATTCTTGAGCCAGACCTACTGTGATAGTCAGAAAAACAGTACCCTACAGGTATCCAATTTTTCTGGCAATGGTGTCTGGGTGAAGGCTGGCTAGTGCGCCTCAGGATACCTGCGATAGATGTGGAGGTCAGGAAAGCTCCACCTCTCTCTCCTTCCTGAATCCCAAAAACTCTTTTTCTGGCAATGGCGTCGTCAGTATGCGGGCTGGCTAGTGCGTCCTGGGGTCAACAGAGAACTGCCAGATATGCAGGCTGGATTTAGAAGAGGTCATGGTACTAGAGATATTATAGCTAATGTTAGATGGATCTTGGCAGAAAGCAAAGAATGCCAGAAGAATGTCTATCTGTGCTTCATTGACTATGCAAAGGCTTTTGACTGTGTGGATCACAACAAGCTGTGGCTGACTCTGAGAAGAATGGGAATCCCAGAACATTTGATTGTGCTAATGCGAAACCTATACTTGGACCAAGAGGCAGTCGTAAGAACAGAGCAAGGAGACTCTACATGGTTCAAAATCAAGAAGGGGGTTGGCCAGGAATGTATTTTGTCTCCATACCTTTTCAATCTGTATGCAGAACAGATCATCTGAGATGCTGGGCTGTACAAAGAGGAATGTGGCATCAGGATTGGTGGAAGAATCATCAACAACCTGCGTTATGCAGATGTCACAACCCTGCTTGCTGAAACAGAGGAGGACCTGAAGCGCTTGCTGCAGAAGATCAAGAACTGCAGCCTCTTATATGGATTGAAGCTCAACATCAAGAAAACAAAGATTCTCACCACTGGGCCAATTGGTAGCATCAGTATGGATGGTGAAGAGATTGAGATAGTTAACAGTTTTAGTTTACTTGGCTCCCCAGTCAACATTCTTTTTAACCAGTAGCCAGGAAACCAAGAGACAAATTGCATTGGGAAAGTCAGCTGTGATGGACCTCTCAAGAGTACTGAAGAGCAACGACGTCAGACTGGAGGCTAAGGTGCCCCTGATCTGGGCTATAGTCTTCACAATTATGTGCTGTGCAACAGAGAGTTGGACAGTGAATAGGGTTGATAGAAAGAGACTTGATGCCTTTGAGCTGTGGTGCTGGAGAAGAGTGTTGAATATACCATGAATTGCTAGGAGAACAAACAGGTTTGTCCTGGAGAAGATGAAGCCAGAATGCTCCTTGGAGTCAAGGATTCTGAAGCTTCTTCTGACCTACTTTGGGCATGTTGCAAGGAGGGACTGGTCCTTGGAGACATCATATTTGGCAGAGTGGAGGGGCAGCAAAGGAGAGGAAGACCTTCAATGAGATGGATCGATTCTGTGACTGGAGTGGTGGGAATGAGTGTGTTTGAGATGGCTAGGTTGGCACAGGATAGAACGGCCTTTAGAGCTCTTGTACATAGGGTTGCTTTGAGTTGCAAGCGACTCAATGGCACATAACAACAACAAAGGTATCCATGCCCTAGCTCCTTGAAGCTGTAGACATGTCAAGTTACATGCAGAGGGAAACCATGGTAACAGAAGTCAGGTTGCTAATCAGCACCATAAAATAGTGAGGCTAGCCTCAACATCTGAGGGGGCTGAGTGTAACCTGGCACCCTTAATGTGCAAGAGGGAGGCCAGAAAAGCAAAACTGTTGCTGTTGTTGCTGTTGTCATGTGTCGTCAAGTCACTTGTGATTCATGGCGACCCTATGTACAACAGCTCTAAACTCTACTCTGTCCTGTGCCAATTTCATTGTCTCCGACACACTCATCCCAATTACCCCAGTCACTGACTCAATCCATCTCCCAGAGGGCCTTCCCCTCCTGTGCCTGCCCTCCACCCTCCCAAGCATGATGTCCCTCTCCAAGGACCGGTGTCTCCTTACAACATGACCAAAGTATGTCAGACGAAGCCTCAGAATCCTTGCCTCCAAGGAGCAGACCGGTTTAACCCTCTCCAGGATGAATCTGTTTGTTTTCTTAGCAGTCCAGGGCACCCTCGGCACTCTTCTCCAACACCAAAGCTCAAAAGCATCAATTCTCCTTCTATCCTCCCTGGACATTGTCCAGCTCTCTGATGCATAACAAGTGATTGCAAAGACCTGGCCTGTACCAGATGCACCTTAGTCTCCAGAGACACACCGTTGCTCTTGAGTACTTTAGAGAGGTCCCTAACAGCAAACTTTCTCATCACAATACGATTTTTAATTTCCTGGCTGCTGGTGTCAAGAGTATTGATTGTGGAGCCAAGCAGACTAAAGCTGTGAACAATCTCAATCTCTTCACCATCCATCCTGATGCTGCCATTGGTCCAATGGTGAGGAATCTTTGTCTTCTTGACATTGAGCCTCAATCCATATTGAAGGCTGCAGTCCCTGACCCTCAGCAGCAAGCACTTCGGGTCCTCCTCAGTTTCAGCAAGCAGGGTTGTGTCATCTGCATAACGCAGCTTGTTGATAGATCTTCCACCAGTCCTGATGCCACATTTCTTCTCATAGAGCCCAGCCTCCTGGATGATTTGAACCACGTACCTCTGGGATTGCTGTGCAGCTTCTTGCCACTAGGCCACCAGAGCTCCCTAAAAGCAATACTAGGAAAGAATTATCAAGAGATGCAACTCTGATCTTGAAGATGAGCATATGGACACACTCTAGATGTTCTCTAGAAAAGGCAAAGAAATGGATTTTCCCTCAGAGCTTCAGAAAGGAAAGCAGCCAGCTTGAACACTTAGCTCAATAACTCTGGAGGCCTAGGTTGGGAGTAGTGCTACCAACCCAAATGTGAGCAGTTTGAAACCACCAGCTACTTCTCCGGAGGAAGACGGGCAGTCTAGTCATGTGTAGTTTATAGTCTCTGAAAACCTGATGGAAGGTAGGTCAGCTATGACCTGGATCTAACTTATTGGCAATGAAATGAATTTTGAGTTGAAAACCTAAACCAGGTTTCTATACTACCAAAATAAATAATTTGTGTTGTTGTTCATTTTATGGAAATTTGTTATAGCATTACTAGAAGGTGAATACCCCTATTGAATCAGAAACCCAATGGGAGGGGTCCAGCAAGCTTTGTTTTAAGACAGTTTCCAGATGATTCTGACACATTGTCAAGTGACATAACCATGAATTATGTATGAAGGAAAGTTCTTTATCTTCTCTGAACTTCAAATTCCATCATGTCCTTGTAGTTATAACAAAGGTGACAAAATGAAAACTCACTTGCCATCAAACAAGACCCAGCTCGTAGAAGTCCCTTCATTTCCTAGCCCATAAATCTTAAAGGGAAGATTCTCATCTTTTTTCCACGGAGCAGCTGTTGGATGTGAACTGTCAGACTTTCTGTTAGCAGGACAACACATTGTGCAATAGACCTAGCAGAACTCCTCAAAAATACATAATAGGCATTGTTAAAAATAATGACTGCAAAGGTCTCTGGTGACATGCAGCCTATTGAAGCTATACAATTAGAGATAAGTCGTGGAATCACACCAGCTATGGTAGGTAAAAAGTGAGTGGTAGAAAGCATTGCTATTTTATTGTTAGTATCTTTGAGTTATCCAACCAGCTCATAAAACAGAGTTGAAGGATACATGATCTAAGTATTCTTATGATCAAGTAAAAAAAACCTTCCAACTATGGAATGAAAAAAAGAATCAACAAATGACAAATAAAAAGGAAGTACATGGATGTAATTGTGTCCCTTAAAAGACATGTTAAATCCTAATCCCTGGTTCCAGGTTGGGGATTTTTAGAGGCCTGCTGGTCTACTGCTAAAGATTCTCCCATCACCCTGCAGGATACAGCTGTGATCTGACACACCTGGGTCATCACAAGTTGGAGTTGATTTGCTCTCAACCGGTATATAAAGAAAAAAAAACCCCAAAATTATTATGTTGAATTAGCACGTAACTAGTAGGTAAAAAAAATGGTTTTCTAGTTCTCTCA